GTGATATAAGTACGTGTACCACTTATGCGTGAGTATTTGTTCGTGTATAGCTTGAAATGAATGTTTATACGCGCTTGATGGCGCGTGTAGCCGGCGCAATATGCATCCCCAACATACAAAAACAGATCATGAACACATTCACATTTTTATAAAACCACACACGACAAATATTCAAACGTACATGCACGTCTACACGCATGCATGCACGCACGTATACGCACAGAATTTCAGAAACTGCAACGTATATGTATATCAAAATGGAACAATTTGATCGGGGTTATTTTTTCATAAAACCTTTCAAGACAATATTTTATGCTTTTAGATTCTTTAGTAATGCACAATTACTGTCTCGTATTTCACGTCACGTAAGTCTTAAATTAAAACTAAAGAGCCATCTTATTTGGTGTTCATTAATCAAAATCGCTGTATAATAAGAAAAGTATTACTGACTTTATTTTTATATATATAACAGAAATACGTAGCGGCATGTAATAATAAATATTGATGTTAGAATCGTCTTAAAATTACAAATCAACCATTTTAAGGCCTTAAGGCTTACCTATAATTAGCCGAGAGCCGAAGTAACTCGCCGTCGGTCGCGGACTGGAACGAGTTCCAACAATCCATAATTTTTGTTATTCTTTTTTGCATAAACATAGAACGACATTAGAAAAAAATTATGTAAATTTCTTGTAATTTTTTCTGTAGAATTGATTGAGTAATCAGTCAATTTAATAATTTGTGTACAATGTTATAATAATGTTATAAAATTGATTTTTGTAATATGTTTTTTATATTATAAAAATGTTTCTCCACGCTCCGCTCCTAATTCGCTGTTTTTTTATTAACTTTACCTGTTTAATGCAGAGAGAATAAGTCAAAGCATATTAATTGTAAGTGCAAAAGCAGAGAAGGAGAAATAGAGAGAATGCGATTATGAGAATGTAAAATGAATGAAATAAGATGTACAAAATATATTTTTCTACCAAAATCAATTCTGTTTTCTAGACTAATGAGCGCAAATATGGAGTTTATTGACCTTTCGCGTGTTACTTTTTTGTAACTGCAGTAAAAGAATAATAACTTCACTCACATTTGAAATTTTTCAGAAATTCGAGAAATTTTTCTTAAATTCCTACGCTTTCAACATATTTCATCTCTGCTAATTTTATTTTTGTGATTATTAAATTTTAGCACACAAAACTATACATTTTTCGCGTTTTAAATTTCATTTTTTCTTGTCATTTTGGTGTGGTTGGTGCAAATTTTTTAAACGATCTTGTTTGTCACGCGCGCACGTTTTAATTACGTTTATACATTACAATTGCATCGTCGTAAATTGCCTCGATTAACACCGTGCTCTTTCCGTGCGATCGGTCGCGATGTATTTATTTACAGAAGCGGAAAACAATAAACGCTATTGCTCTGGGTATAACATACCGTTTTCCTTCGTTTTTCAATTTCAAAGGACACGACAAAGGCTTCTGGTTTTCTCTTGGACGCAATCGCGACGTGCTTCAAACGCACTGAAAGGGGTTCTTGCACGCTACTGATGTCGTTTCTCTCTCTCTCTCTCTCTCCCTCCCTCTCTCAATCGCTGAAACTAATTTAATTAACTAATCACCGCCAGTTCAGGTATTACGCGCGCGGAAACCCACCTAGCTTCATTTGAAACGCCCTCAATGAGAGAAATGCAGCGCGATCAAAGACGATATACATATGTTTGAAGGATAAGGGAATAGATACATATACGCGCGCCATACCTAATTCCAATCTAATCTGGATAAGCAATACGAAGGTGATAAATGTCGTTCCGTACATTTTTGCAAATGCAATGTGGATTATACGCACGTGGACGAGAAGCTATTGCGGAATTATTTGCCTTTCTTCAATATTATTCGCATTTAATATATAGAATTTAATTATAACTTTTTTCACAGATTATATCACTGTTATTTTTTGCTTTTTGCATTTAAAACTAGAATTCTAGATAATTTTAGATAAATGATTGAATAGAAGATGAATGTATGTATTAGTTTTAACATAATGTCCGGTGGATTCGTTCGCGTGTTCGCGGACTTTCAGATGGGGCGCGCAATCGAAAACGCGCATTCGTAAACACTCACATGGTATTCGTCGCGCGAATGATAGAACACATTTAAAGAGAACAGCAACCTTATTCTATAGGAATGGAAAACTGAGAGCCGAGTATGAAACGTTTACGCGCAGTGACAGGTAAACCACAACTGAATTGTTTACAACTACAAAGAATGACCCGTCGGTAGGGAATGATTTTCTTTTAAATATAGTCAATAAACATCGATAACTCGAATCTCAAGGGAAGAGAAAAACTCTTCGACTTATCGAAATTCGAGTAAAAGAGGAAAAATATGAAAATTCAACTTAGTTTTCACATAGTTTTTTTTTTAATAGAACGTTACTGCAGAGGGTATTTGGTTTTATCACATTGTTCGAGAAAATCATAGTTTATGATCTACTAATCGTATATACGTTTAAACATAAAGTTGTCCTGCTTTCCAAAAATATCTATTTATATTACATATACGTGATATAAAATTAACAATTTCGGTGAGGGATCTTTTAAAGTTAACTTGTCCTTAACTTATTGCAGGAGATAATATTCAATTACGTGACTTGCATAACGATGAGTTAACCTAGGAAAAAAATTTGATTTCCTACGTCTTTGTTCTACATTAAAGACCTTATAACCATATTGGACCATAACGTTTTTAGAAATAATAGCGACAAGACACAAGAAAGAAGATTGAACTTTTTTTGTCTTTGAAAACAATGGCAAAGGATCAATCATTTCAACGTCATTAAATGTCTCTGTTAAAATAAATCATTCGTGCTACCCGCAGTGACGCCAAGTGACTATTGTTTCGGCTTCTTGTGGGTGTGTGTGTGTGTGTGTGTGTGTGAGAGAGAGAGAGAGAGAGAGAGAGAAATGCCTGCGCTTTACAACGCTTTACGCTGTAGCAATTGTCGAACTCTTGTATTTAAATATTTTTCAAAAAATATTTATTTCAATTTTTATCATTGTAATTTAATTTTAATCTCGGTTTAATTTACTCGTTATTTTTTTCTAGTTTTCCTAAAACTAGAAAAAGATGAAAAATATTAAATCAAGAGTAAAGTTAATCTATATTGGTATGAAATCATCATTGGTTTCAAATCAGAATTATATGAAATGTATAGTAGAAATATTGCTCACTCATAATGACTTTCTAAATTTTTTTGTTGCAAAAATGTCACAAATTAAACTCTTGTTGAGATAAAGTTGATAAAAACTTATTGAGATGTAAATAGATAACTCTTGAAGGTGAATTTATCTCTGATTTTATTATAAAAATAAAAATTATTTTTCGACACAATTTAGTAATTTATAATATAAGGTAAATGTCCCAACGGAAATTTGAGTTAATCAATTATTAAAAATAACATGTTTTTTTATTAATAATTTGTCTTATATTTTGCCACACATAATAATAATGATCGCATTTTAAATAAAAGAATAAAAGGAAACAATTATCAATTTGTAATTAATTAAATATTTGCAAAAAAATTTTTATGCACGTATGTATATGTTCGGTGCTTAAAAGATTTATTCCAAAATGTGGACATAATTAATTGTCCCAATGTTCGATCGCAATATATCAGTTGTTAATATTATTCTCTAAATTTTCTGGAGTGAGATTCACTCCAAAAGAGTGAAACGTCACTCCAAAAAATTTAGAGAGTAGGAATTTATTAAAAAGAAACATTAATAAATATGATAGTCAGTGAATATATCTTAAGCGTGAATGCTTTTTTCAACGCTACAAAAATTATTTGGTTTTGCAATGTCTTAGTAAAATGATTAAAGGATTAAAGGATTAGGGAGATCAATTATCTTAACGTATCTTAGCTATCTTATTGTATTATTTTACTGCAACATATTATTAAACTAAATATTATATTATTGTATTATTATTTAACTGAATAATACACAATACGGGTCTAAATTTTTAGTAAACTTTTAGTTTTACTAAAAATGTAATGTATCAAAAATTATAGAAATGTTTAACACTTATAAATATTTAATAATATCTATTTTTTAGTATATAATCGAAAAAAACTAGATACATCCAGCTGGGGACATTTATTTAAATAGGAAATATAGCAAATCATATTTTTAAATCTTTTTTATTAATAAAAATTGGTCAAAATCATGCATTCTGTTCTTCGCAAATCTCTGTATCTTTTACAATACTATATAATCGGCGATCGTGATAACGTACTACAATACAATCGTCCATATAACTATTCCGCAGTGGAATATCTATCGCGAATAAACAAAGTATTTATTTTCTACATTATTAATTATTGTAAGTATATCTATTAATAAATACATAAATACAAATATATATACAAATATATTTATATTACATTAAATTTAATATTTATATTGTGTATATATATGTATATATGTATAACATATACACATGTGTGTATATATTATATATATGTATAATATATATAAACACGTATATGTACGTACATAAATTAGATATTTATATATACATGTATATATATCATATGTATATATATCATTATATACATGATAAATTATATTTATATTTCTCATGTATATAAATAATATATACATTTATTATTATTTCTATGTTGATTCATCACATTTTAATAAATAGAGAACGGAGAGTAATATTATTTAGTACAAACGTTCACGCCATATAATAATTAAGAGGCGATACGTTCAATGTTTCAAATCAAAATAATTTCATGCAAATAAGATTTAGATGTAAAATTGAAATTAAAATTAGATGAAATAATAAAAATTAAAAAAAAAAACTAAATAAGTTTCGATAAATTAAACAAATTGATATTTATAAAACAATTATTTTATATTATTGTTTGATTAGGTATATACTTATGCTATCTCATAATAATAATCATGTCATTTCTCGTGAAATGATTGAACGGAAAATTAAACAGAAAGTTTTTTATCATTTGGATCACAATAGTTATTAAGAAATTAATTAATAAATATTTGTGAATATTTGCACGAATCAGCCGCGTAAGTACAGGATGAAACAGCACAGCATTACGCATCAATTATTACATAGACATAGTCATGGATTAATATGCGCGCGGAGAGCTGTTGAAAGGAGTACTTTCTTGCTGCGTTGTCTATTGCAGATCTTTATTTATTAACTTCTCATTAATTATTGAGAAAATCCTAAAATAATAACTGAACTTTTCCATTGTCGGTTTAACTTACTGTCTATTTATTAGCATGTGTCACATTTTATAAAACTACAAAAAATTAAATCAAAATTAAAATCGTTTAATTAATTTCAGCGAAACATTGCATGTTGCATAATCCTTTCTAAAGCTGTGTTCGGGAAGCGCGCTACCAGTGCTATTGTGTCATTTTATCTTTGTCGTTTAGACGTAAAGTAAATAGAAAATTACGCAATGAGAATGACGCAATAGTGCTGATAGCGCGTTCTCCAAAAACTCCTTTCTTCGTCTTTTATTCCCCTCCCTTCTCTTCAATTCTAATAAAACTTGCGGGTTGTGCTATTTTTGTTTTACCAGAATGCTCGCATTTTCTTCCTGTTTGTTACAATGTTATATCTTCACATAATGTAATCCATAAAAATAACATCATTATCAAATATATTGCTTTTTGCAGGTGTACGTGATAATCCGTATTGTATCTTGTATTTCTTCATTCTTCATTGTTAAAACGCCGCCTGAAATTAAAATTAACTATTTAGAATTTCATACTTTAATTTATTATAAATTGTATAAATTACTGAGTTGTACGTAAATTAATTAAGTAACACATGTTTAATGTTTTATAAATGTAATAGGGAAAAATTATTTAACAACTAAGTGGAAAACATTGAACTAATATAAAAAAAGAAAGAATTAAAGTAGCTAAAATTTATTTGTTAAGTTCTGTAAAGAAGCAAATAGGATCTAAATAATATTTCTCGAATTGCCAGTCAGATTTTTCAATTAACGCGTAATGTAATTTATAAAATTAAACATATATTATAATTATACTGTACAATATTATTATTTTTATCGATATTAAGTTCTTTTGAGTACATTTGTCATATTTGGCCAAAAGCATCGTCGCTGAAGATTAGATTAAAAGTGTGCATCCGCAATTAGAAAACATTATCTGGTAACAATGCGAAACATTGCGGGGAGTTGAGCTGTATGTTTTCATTGTTTTCATCAGGATCCGTTTTCTACAACAAAACCCATTGGATAAGACAAAACGAATCCGGGCCTAAACGATTCCATTGTTCTGTCGCATTAATATGCTAATTCGATTATCCGCCTCGTTAACGTGACGTGACGGCCTTGCCGATAACTACCCTAAAAACTCTCGAGTAAGAATGAATCAGTTAGAAACCTAATTTATTTTTTTTTGTGACAAATTGACTCGAAGATAATAAACTACATTGTAGATTCTGTTTGGAGATTTATTTTTTAAAATTTGTTTCTTTTATTTATTTAACGGAATCTGAAAATCTCGAATTAATATTCTTTTTTTGGCATATGTAAAATTTTAAATTAAAAAATATTATTCTATAAAAAAACAAACCAATCGAGCAATTTGATAAATAAACTATGTCCTACTTTGGCAAACAAAAATCTATAAAATAATGATTAAAAATGAATCAAATCTTTCCTGAGCTAAAAGATTATTTCGCAATGTTTTTGAGAACCTCAGATTAATCGAGAAATCGTAAATATTCGTAAAACATTATTTATAAAAGCATCATTGTTTATTAATTTCTTACCAAATCATGTCTGAGCCTATGTTGAGGTAGACATTCCAACGTGGGTGTTGTTCCAGCCATGGACGGTGTCCCACAATCAGGGAAGTACATTGGTAACGAAGTAGATTGTGATACATTGGTATCATAAGTATTGGCGTCAAATCTGTCATTGTTGCTTATAGATCCAGACGTGAAGGGGTACATCATTTCAGAACGAAGACTGTTGGCTCCCAATGCAGCATGGCCGGTCGGGAGGAACGGGTTCATCCATGCCGTTGGATTACCAACCGTCGGTGACATCGGGTAGAGATGATGTAAGCGATTGACGTTCAAGGACGCGTTCTCGTTGCCGTCAGCCGAAACCGCCGACATAGACGATGTATTTGGATTCCTCACCTTACTGTGGTCGGACCCGTGATATGGATGGTACGAGCCGTAGGGCAGCATAGGCCTATGAGACACGGCCGTAGGATCGAACATCGGAACATATGGAACTGGTTGCGGAAAACTAGTCCCCGAAGGTATGTTCATGTTTTCAAACTGGTTCGCTAGAATTTTCCTTCTTGGTTTCTTTCTTGGTAGAAACTTATAATCCGGATGGTCCTTCTGGTGCTGAACGCGAAGGCATTTCGCCCGATTGATGTAGGGGACCTTGTCTTCGTCGGTGAGTTTCTTCCACTTCTCGCTGAGAATCTTCGAGATCTGCGAATTATGCATCTTTGGATTCTCCTGGGAAATCTCTCTCCGTTTCTGTTGGGCCCACAAAAAAAACGCGTTCATAGGCCTCTTAACGTGTTCCTTTTCCTTGGGTGGCTGTCCGATAAAATTCGTATCATCTTTTAAATCAGATGACACGGTATTGAAAAACGGATACATCGAATTGTAAGATGACGAGAGTACGTCGCGTCCTGCGTCCGAGTTTGAACTGAAGGCCGAGTATGGACTGCATGGTATTTGTTCGTGATTTAAAATAAACTTTGTCATCTTCGCTCAGCCTTTATGAATAACTGTTAGACGATTCGTTGAAGTAACTGTTTACAAACACACTTACGGAACAGTGCAATCGATCACAGACCGATATCACGATATCGATTTATATCGCAAGATTCACAATTCATTGGTGGATATTTCAAGCCACAAACTAGTCTAGTTTTTGTCCAAATCACTTTACACTTCTTTCAATTCACGTTCTCTCACTATTTGGCTAGCCTTATTTTATAACTTACGAAAAATATATCTTCACGCGCGAGACAGTACTGCGTCTTTCAATCAGGAGATTTTCTTAAAATTAATCAGTCATTTTTTAAACTTTGTCTTTGCTTGCTAAGTTTAAATTCTCTGAATTATTTATATGTGTTTTATTTGTTTTTTGTTACAAAAAAATTAGTCACAGGTAAATTATCTTTTCAGTTTCTTCATTTATTTTTTTATTTGTTCAATATATATCGCACACGGTCACAATAATCTTTGGTTTGATTCTTCTTGGATACTTTACGAATACTTCTTCTTTTTCTACTTGAATTTCCCAATGTTACTGATTGTGAGATGCGTTGATTTTTTTTTATTTTAATTTTTATTACTATCGTAATAAACAATATTTTTTTTTCACTCAAAATTAGAAACTAATAAACGATAATAGATTTTTTTAAGAGATTACTATTTTTACCACTGTCCGGTGGCCAAACGCTGCACGTCTTCCTTCTATCTGTGCTTCAACATTCGTGCTCATGGTGAGTTCGGCTGACTTAGTAGCAGACGCTGAATAACACTGTAAGCTGCGTGCCTGACAGCTGATCATTGTCCCGCCAGGCAGGCCAGGCTCACAAGCCAGACTGTCTTTCTCGGGAATCTCTTCCCTCTTCGTCATGTCCGTTGCGAGCCCCACGCGCGACCCACGTTTATGGGCGTAGCTTCGCCGGTCGTGTTTGAAGTTCGACCGGCTGATCCGTCGACCACCCATCGACCGGCCCCTCGTGCACCATTGGTCGTCGAGTTCCCGTTCTCGTGTAACTCCGTTGCACTTCGTCCCACTTCGTCGCACCCTGTCACCCTACTTTGCAACCCGCGGAGCGGGCCACTTCGACGCGATATACCGCACGGACTGCAATTATTATTATCGATTACCTCGATACGACGAAGTACAAATAGCGCATAGACCGGTCGTTATTGACTGGCTTCGTTCGCGTACCGTCGCAACCGCGGGGCTACGTGGCGCAATAATTGCGATTAAAAAAAAAAAGAGAACAGGGTAAAGGTTTTCGTCCCTGGGGATAGTATGCAATAGTATGTTTTGTGTAATCTCACAGCAAGTTTTTTCGATTTTAACTAACAGTGAAATACAATCTTATTAGAACCATCATTCTCACAGACACTAAAAAATTACATGTGAATTACGTAACTGTAATGTAACTACCACAATTATAGTGAGTACCCAGTAAACACAGATTAAAACTGCAATGTTACAGCAATATTACATTTCAGCTATATTGCAGCAATGTCACAATATTGCTGCAATATTGCAGTTATGATTTGTGCTTGCTGGATAATTTTGGAACTCACTATTAAAGATGTATATTTATATACCTTTGTAATAGTAAAATTATAACTTACAAATAAGATTATTCTTCTTTATAGTAATTAAACAACTTGTAAAAATAAATTTATAATTTAAATTAAGTTTATAGCAGTATTTATGCAATAAGATTTCAATTTTCATTAACACTATTTAACATGCATAATGACACTATTTAATCATCTAAGCAACAGCTTTGAAGTTTAAATTTATCGCAAATAAATTATGCAAACAAATTACGTACATTTTAATAAAAATGTATACAACTACATAAAATTTATAAAATATGTTATTGCCGTTGTAATTTTTTGTTTAACATAAAGATATATTTACACAATTAATAAAAGTGTTAATTTACAAGAACTTTTTTTAAACACATTTTTTTACATATTGTCATTATAAATTTCGTAATTTTAATATTATTTCTTCAATCAGTTTTGTTAATATATAATCGATTAGCAATAAGTATGGCATATATATTGTACAGTCATGTAAATTCTTATGTGTCTCGTGAATAAAAAAAATCAGGGTGATAGTAGAAGACAATACTGATTGTGAGTATGTAGCTCACTGACTGCAGTAATATTACTATAGTGATATTGAAATGAGTTTTCCTATACTATGCTATAGATTTCGCGACTCCAATTGTAGTAAATAATATAGTCTTGTGGTCGTCTACTATTAATTTTCATTATAATATAATAGTTTATAATTTTCAATATATAATAATAATATAGTTTGCATAATAACATTGGTTGCATATAATTTATTTCAAAGTTGCATTAAAAATTTTTCTTTAATTTTAGCTAGAATTTTGTTCAAAAGTATTTGGAACATTTGATAATTTTTAGAAAATTTTTTTACATGATTTTATTAAATATTTTCAGACTACATTCCAAAGTGTTACTTTCGAGAAAAATTTTATTAAAAAGCTATAGTATACGTATTGTAAACGTAGTGTTTTAGTAAAATTTTCCTCGAAAGCAACGTTTTGGAATGTAACTTTGGTATAAGATTTCTTTCTTTCTTTTGTGTATTATATACATTGTGTATTATATGTATACATAGGCATAGACGGAGGAAGAAGTGGGGATAAAACTCTCAAGGATGGATTTTATTACCTGCTAGATCTTGGAAAATTTTTTCGAGCAGTTGCGAATGACCTCCCGAAGTGAAAGTTCACCGCTGATGTACAAGTTTCAAGTAGTTGGAAATTACTTTACGTTTCGCTAAAGTGAATTACGCAATATTAACAGCAAGAAATAATGTGATATTTCTTGTTATTAATATGTCGATGCTTCTATCCTAACTCTAAAGAAGATGAAATGAAAGAAGAGGAATACAATACAATTAATATAGTGTACGTTAAAAAAAATATATAAATAAATTTCTAAATATGATAAAAATGTATGTACTATGTTTTATAATTCGAGCCCATTAAAATATGTTACACATATTCTAAAATAATGAGAAAGTAACAAAATTATTCTAAATCGCATTTAAAAATAATGTAAAAAAGTAGTGATTTAGAATCCGGATCAGAAATTATTTCAATGTTGGATATCGTTAAGTGATCGAGGGGGTAACCATTCAGAAAATAGATCCTAGACTTCTGACTTCAAGTACTTTACCGGATTTCAGCGAACTTCAGCGGACTTCATCGGACTTCATGGAATTCAACGGAATTTTTACAGGTACACTGGAATTCAAAAGTGGTTACCTCCTCGTCAGTAATATAAAACTTTGATTAGTCTTGTAACCACTCTCTAAAAATGAATCAGTGAAATCATCACTAATTGTCAATGTATTATATTATTTTCCAGTGGCATTGATTGTTTGACACTGAAATTCACTGTTTAAATTAGTATATTATTACTGAAGCGACATTGAATAGTCACTGTTTATCACAGTCCTAAGTATGTCACTGGAAAATGATATACATTACACCTCACTGACATCACTGACAATCTGCAGTGATGATTCCACTGATTCACTTTTAGAGAGCATCTATTTTAATCGCGCCGCTTTATTATACGTGTGCCACATCACAAAAAATAAATGAATAAAATTTATTTATTTTCTTGTTTACAAAACAACTAATATCTGGATTGTAATGAAACTTCGTATAAATCATCTTAAATACTTAAAGTATTTATACATAAAAATTTAGATTTTTGTCGTGCTTTAAAATAATTTAAATTTTAACAATAAGTAAATGAAAGTTGTTGTTAAATAAAAATATAATGTTAATTATATAATCTATTATATGTATATATAAAATTTATCTAAAGTATAAATATTATTAAAATATAAATATTAATATTTTCATACAATTACAATTTACTTTGCAGGAACGGATGATGCATCCTTATTTTTTATTATTATAATTATATAGTTATATCTTATGAAAAACAAATCGAAAAGTCCTGAATAATTTTTTTATCCGAAATATAATGAAGGAGCTATTCGTAAGTAAAGTCCATCCAATCAGTGCCGTTCTTTAAGTGTATCCGTGAGCCGCGCGCTTTGTAATGTGCGTGGAAGTACAAATGAAACGCAGTTTACAAATGCATGTCCCTTTAAACAACGGCGTTGATTGGATGGACTTTACTTAAAAATATTTCCTTTATTAAGCTTTGGTTGAAATTAATTCAAAATTTTTCACAACGAAATAACTGTGTAATTGGTGCGTATAAAATGTAACATATTCTGCGTAGTCTGAATTATTTTAAAATGTTTAACATTTCAATTATTGTAATTGTTTCTTATTTTAGGAAAAGGATAAATAAAAATTCCTATAGTGTGATTTAATGTGCATAGCACAGCAAGTTTCTTTAATCTGCTATACTTTCTAACGCTTAGATCGTTAACCATGTTAATTTTAAACCTCTCTGATGGTATACAGATAAAAATAAATTCCTGAAGCAATATGTTAAAGTGATATGTGTTGTCTCATACACCGCCGAACGTAAAATGATCGAGTGAAAGTTCGGCGTTGTTTTCTTATCGTGCAATCCCCTTTACGCCGTCTTTTCATCGTCGACGAATAATCAATCGGGACTCTACTTCAGAGTGAATTTCGACCCTATTTAGTTTTACGTGCACACGCGCGCGCATACGTATATGCAGAAAGAGAGAGAGACAGAGAAGCAAAGTGGAGGAGAGGAGGAGAGCGACAGCTTCCGTGAAACAATGCCAGGCGAAATCTGACGGTTACCCTCCTATGGGAAATCTGCGGGTACAATGCAAAAAATCCTCTCGACGACAGGGCACTTGGATTAGAATGAAAAGCGGCGAAAGGCGAGAGCGCCCGCTCTCTTTTCCCAATCTCGATTCGTCCCTCCGCCGCGCCGTCCTGACCCATCCTCTCTCGCCTTTCCCGGAGGACATTCAGCGATGCAAACGAATAGACGTAATAGTTCGCTTCTCTTTCTCGGCGGTATTAGTTGTTTTGTGTACTCTCGTATTACGATTGCTTTTCGACGTCTTTCCGTCGCCGCGATCAAATTTTCTTTTCTCCCCTTCGATTATTGACAGTATGTCTCAGTAAATTTTTATTAGTGATCTCACTTAAAATTTTATTACCAGATGTTGCATAAGACCTGCATTATCAAGTATATTACCGTAGAAGTAAATTTGAGCAAATATTAAGCATACACAGAAATAAAATAATAAATAGGGAGAAAAACATAATTTAATGATCTAGTTTGTAGAAAGATGTGATCCTAATTCTATCACTTATCACTTATCACGAGATATGAATACCTAATCTTGTGCCAATAAATCGAGTTAATTACATATTCCTCATTATTTAATTTAAATAATCCAATCGAGTGCACGTAAGTCCATCTTAGCGATAGAGTTGAATTAAGAGAATAATGAATTCCAATTTAAATAGAAAGCACCGAAATTATAACGCAAAATTATTTTTCGAAGTGGCGCGGATCCGCCTTTACAAAGTTCACTGTCGCGAAATATTTCCCGAAAACATCCGTCACTTCGTCATCGATCTCGGCACGATTGGATAAAAAAAAAAAGGAAAAACAAAAATCCAGGAAAGCAAGCACGTCAGCTAATAATTTATTATCTCGCCCGGGGTGCGCCACCCCGAAAAACAAAACCCACCCTCGTCGCGGCGTCGACAAAAGGTGGCGGAAGGAAAAACGAGGAGCACGTCTCTTCCGTCGCGGAAAAAATCCGGCGACGTGGTCGCCATTCCGTCGGCCTCTCCGCGAATACCTCGTGCGCGCATACAGATACACATAAACGTATATATATATGTTTGTGTGTATGTATATAATATATATATGTATATATATATTATATATACACAAATATATTCGGGTGTACACACATTCTTGCCCGCATGCAGTCGGGTGCAAATTGGTATTGAAAAATCTCGAAGTCAATTAAAACTCGAAGTACAAAGGATTCGGCGAGACAAAATACCAATTATCTCATGTCCTCGCCGTCGTCCACCCCCTCCCCCGCCTCCCACATCCCTCCGTTCCCTTCTTTCCCTGCCCAGTCGAAGAGGAGGTGGAGGAGGTGGCGGCAAAGAGGAGAGAGGGGAGGCTCTTTCCCTTGCAAGAACTCAATTCCATTAGGCATTGAAGTGAGTAAAACGAGGATGGGCATCTATATAACGCACTCGCATCTCGCTTATCTACCTAATAAAGGTTTCTCTCGCCCTCTCCCACCCTTGTGCCTTCCCCCCCCGACTCCTCTCGGGCTTCTTCTACTCGCTGCGGCCCCCTCCCTCCCCCCGCAGTATAAAGCATGCCCGTGAGGTGTCTGCGAGACAATCCCTTGGGATGACAATGCTTATCCCACGTATGAATGCTTCCTAGGTAATTTAAGTATAGCCCGCCCGATATTGTCCGCCCTTCTCTTCCTCGCACGTTCTCCCCCTCCCCCCCACCCCGGCCCCTCTTCACCCCTGCTCATCGTCGTGCGGATCTCCGTTCGTGCTCGTCCATGAAAATTCGTTGTCTTCGCGTTAATGATCGCTTTTAGATTTCATTCTAGATTGAAATCCAAAAAGGATTGCTCGCACCAGAGATACAAAACCTGAATATCCCATTTAATGAATATTTGACACGTATATAAAAAGTTCTATTGTCTATAAATTGCAGAGAAAAAATTAAGGTGCTTAATAATTAGCTACGAGATTCCACGTACGTCCAACATTCGAATAAATTCGCGTGATAATTGATTTCGTTACAAAATCCAGGATTTTATCGCGTCAATTCGGGACGCGTTTAATGACTCGGAATAATCATCACGACCCTACACGACGAGCAATAAAAATTTGATGATTTCGCTTAGACGGCAATTAGGATACAGCTAATTAATAACACTCCTGGCTCGACGGTGTAACGTCTTTCGCATACAGGCGGAGCGTGTAATTCAGACGCGCGGAGGAGGGAGGGGAGGGGGGGGAGGGGATTATCCACGCAACGTTCCCGACATTGATCCTGCAAATTAAGTTGGCTGCTCGACCGACGGGGCGAGATGTCACACACCGGCAGGAACTGCTGGGAGCTTTGTCCTGGCAAGCTCGCAGCAGGTGAAGCGCCGCATTTGCCTGATATTATGGGCGATAGCGAAGGCGTGTGAGGACAGACAAGATAAAGCTCCGTTCGCACTAACTGTTGAGAGATTATCACAGTCGCACAGGTGCACGGTTCAGAGGTGCTGAAACTTCGATACGGCGATAACGAGAAATCATGGAGATCATCAGAGCTAAATATTTTCGAATATTCAACAAATGCTAATTTTTACTATTTTAAAATTTTGGATAAAAATTGTGTTATTATAACAATAATATTTACATCCTTCGTATTTATATCTCATTCATATCCTTCATTTGTATAATTCAATAATTCAATAAACTTTTCATTCTTATAGAATTAGAATAGAAAATAAATATTGGAATAGAAAAAAAAAGTAGTAGATACTTATTTAAATGTCGTCACAGTTAATTTTCAAATTATGAGCCTCTCGCACGCGCGCTCGCTCGTTGGGGACGCAGCTTAACGGGGGTGCAACGTAGGGAGAGTAAGGGCACGGGTTCAGGAGAGCCCGTGCGAGATCACGCGGTGCGGGACGGGGAGGGAAAGGGTAAAGAGGGAGGGAGGGAGGGAGCGTAGGAGAGAAATCCGGATCCATCGCAGTGCCACGTCGCCACCCCCGAAGAGTACGCACGAACGCGTTGCGTAATTAGCGACTGCCTCCCCGGTTTCGTAGATGGGTGGGTTATACTCCGCTGCAGCAGTGGCGACAGATCGGACGAGGAGAGAGAAAGGGGGCGCGAAGGGGGGGAGGTGGAAGGGCGGGGGCGGGGGAGGAAGGGAAGGAGCGCGAAAGGGTCGACCAAGTGCAACCCCTAGAAACCCGTTCGTGCGACTTGCGCTGCGAAATCCGCCGCGTGCAACGCAGTTATAGGCGCACGTGCACGTGCGCGATCTACGGGGTGTTTCTTCCGTAAGAGTCCCGGACGGAAGTTTTGGAGAACCGAAGGGCGCCGCCGCCGCCGCCGCTGCGTTCGAGACAGCGTAACGGATTAGCGATCCTCGAGAGGTTCGATTTCGCCGGAAACAGTTAAGGTGAAACGTGAAACGGGTTGGGTAGATCACGACTTTTACGATGCGGGCACTCGAATTTTTTTTTTCCTTTTCGAGAAGGTTGTTTGAAAAAACAAAGAAAAAAAAAGCGAAAGCGGAACTGCCGCAGTGTTTGACGCAACTCCCAGTCGTAATTTTGTGTCGCACTCGGGTCGTCCTCGGCGAGGGTCAAACCGGGTGACGGGTCGTCGTTAATACATAAGGCAGCTATATTATCGGAAAATATCGCTCCGACAATTCTCAGAAAGTGCTTCCGATTTGGTGAGCGCGCGCTGAGTTAAGAGCGGATTAGCCGACGATCTGATTTCTCCGAGGGTGGCGAAGGGGTTTTGGTCGAATTATGCGGCTCGTGGCGTCGACACTAATCCTTTTGAAAACACCCTGTATAAAGGATGAGGTGCGGGGACGGGAAGAGGGGGGAGGGGTGGGGGAGAGGGGGCGGGAGTGCGAGCGTCGTCGAGACGCAATTAATGCGGAAACCAGGCGCGGACGTTATAGAGGGAGTTTCGAGAAGGGCATCGCTATGCCGTGAGACGTAATGACTAATTGAGATCGGAAAGAGAAGGGCGAGCGAAAGGAGAGAAGGAAGGGGTGGGCTGCTAGAATAGAAGGGGGTTAATACGAGCTGCGTGGTCACGGTAAAACGTGCGTTTTCTCTCTCTCTCTCTCTCTCTCGCTCTCTCTGTTGCTCCCTCTTTCCGACTGCTTCCGTACAACCCTCTTTCCACCGTCCTAGGACCTGTGACAAAGGATCACTCGCTTGCAGGCGCACCAATAGAATTATGGATTCCTCTTCTGTCGAGGCCTTCGGATTCTGCACAATTTTCCGCGTATAATCGATCGGGAGTGAGAGATTGTGCTTGCGAGGCGCACACGAATCGCGGGGATTTACAGATGTGTTCTGATATCGCAGATATGTATATATATATATCATACAAAAGCGCGTTTGCAGAAAATACGTTATTCGCATTGTGTTGAACGAAGAAGAAACTCGTTCTTCTTTTCTAAACGAATGAACGCGATGAATCAGCTTGATCGACAGCGCGTTACATATATTAACAATCTTTTCTCTTTCCCTTCTCCCCCCCCCCCGTGTGAATTTCGATTCGAATATGTACACGAGGTTCAGGCTTGAAAAATGCTAAACAATTTTGTAATTACGCAATGTAAATTTGCATATTTCTTTGCCGTTAAATCTTATCATGATGAGAATTACTTTAGTTCTGCAGAAGATAATGCGGAAGATTAGGAAATATGTAAGATATATCTCTCTTAATCCTTGCTTAGCACACGATATTGTGCATGTAATTTAATCTAACAATAATAACTAAATGCGTCACTTTGCACAAACGAGCGAACCATCGGGATTCGCGGTTTTCGCATATCGATCGCGTTTCGCGTTCCCGGCGACTATACGACGAACGGGTTGACGCAAGACGAATCCGCCCCGGGAGAGCCCACCAAACCCCCCTTCCCCCCCCC